TCGAGCAGGCTGGCAAGTGGCTTTACGTAACACAAAACCTCACAAAATGCCTATCCCTGCTATTTCCTCATCAAGCGTTGAATCACTATTTAGAAAAATGAGCAACTTCACGGAATTTATAAGGATAAGCATACACCATGCATTGGGAAATGTGGTCGCATCTTTGGCTGAGCTGGATTTCTTTGACGTGCATCGGTTGGATAGACACTGTTTACTACGAAATCGAGGTGGTGGTCTAATAACCCATACCAAATCGTCTTAGTGTAAGTCTACGAAGATTATCTTCACCTACAACGTAGGATATATCTCATGTACTTCGGTTGAATGTAAACCCCGTTTCCTTAGTAAATATCATTCCATTTTGGCAAACAACATTTACATAGCACCATCCAGTACAACTTCTGATGTACAGACGTTTGCTAGTGTGTTTATATCCGAACTTTCTAACTACACGGAACGCTCTCTTTTTATTGTTAGTGGTGATTTTACCCATGCAGATATTCAGTTCTTGACTGGTCTCTTTCTCTCTCCACAATCTCGTATATTTCTCCACAAGAGGCAACGCGCAGTTTGGTCTTATGTTTTTGAACGATCCTGACCTGTTTGCTGTGCGAAGAGGAGCCCCTCTGGCAAATTCCGATCACTGTATCATCAATGTTTTGCCAAAAGTCTACTCAAAGAAACATCATAGCACACTTACACGTACATCTAACCGGAAGATTTTTCATAGGCTGTCCGACCCGGCCCATTTGGCATCACTGACAGAAATGATCTCTGGGACAAATGTTGATCACTTCTTTGATCCAAGTGTCTCGGTCGAGTGTGAACACCTTTCAAGCTATTTGAACTTCTGCCTTGACATCTGCTGCCTCATAGCCCCTATATACATCAGTCGCGCCACATTTTCTTCTCCCACATAGAAGACCCACAGAAGAACCTAGGAATGGTCACATAAATATCGTGACCAACCTTTAGTTAAACAAACGTCAGTGCTGATCAAGAATGAGATCCAAAATCTTAACAAACTCTACACTGAAACCCTTCTTGATGGCCGTAATTGCAAGCAAATCTGGAGCACTATGAAAAAACTCTGTGGAGAAACGTCGGACTACGTGAGCCTCAACCCACAGTGGATGAACTCAACTGCATGTTTTCCACGTCAGCTCAAACTGAAGTATCGTATCCTTATTTCCAATCAGTTGAC